ACACAGCCAAGACAAGTTACTTTGTAAAGACCAAAGGTTAGTTTTATGTTATTTGATACCGTAACATGAGTACATGTGAGCCACGTCATTGTAACTTCTGTATTGTTAGCCAGGCATGGCTGAAAGGTCAATATAATAAAAATAATAAATATATATAAATCTATAATGTTATGAGATTTAAGCTATTTAGTCTAAACATTTCTGTTTTGGAGATATAATTTGTATTTATTTCCTAATTTTTATGGTGGTTGCAAGATTGGTCAAATCTACCGAAACCGTACAGAGATTAATTACTCAAAATAACAGATAAACAGTTTGCCCCCAAAGAAGAAAGGTCCACCTTTCGAAAGTGCTCGGGTTATAGGTTTTTTATTCATTTCCATTCAGATAAAATATAACATTTGCTCTTAAGAAATGTTTGATAACTATCTGGACATTATAACGATTTTGCACATGAAATTTGAAAATTTTCTGATGTATAAAAGTATTTTTATTCTTAAAATGAATATTACTTTGCATGAGAAATAGGCAATATGCGAAAAAGAAAAAAAAAGAAACAAGAAGAACATTGATTTACAAACCTTAAGACTTAATAAAAAAATTTGATATTTTACATCTGAAAGCATTGTAATGTTTACTGATAATCTGGCAAATTTCGTTAACAATCGCTCACTAATTTAAAAGTTATAGCATGAAAACTGTAATGAGCACAAAATGGTTATGAGGTCGATCCCAGGGACTGAGCCTGTGCTGAAAGAATTAACTGATTTAATTATTTTAATTACAGGGTACTACCATTTACGTTTTATAAACTTTGTGCATTAACATACAAGATAGCACAACCAGAAAAACGTTTTGTATGCAAAGTTTTTCCCCTAGTATGTCGTTATAATCATCCAAACAAAATCAAATGCAGTGTCTCACACTGGATCAAAAACTATGTGCTTTATAAAGTACTCAATGCAGCAATTTTAAGCAATATATATAAGCCTTGTTGTTTTGTTGCCACCAGCCAGTTAACTAGAGTAAATACATTACGTAAGACATCTTTATTTGTTTTTGCATATTTTTTTTTTCAGACAGTATTATTTGACATCTGACTCAAACTGCATAAACCAAACAAAAAGTTAACTTACCCTGGCAGAGGCCCACCGTTCTCTAGGTCATACACTTGGTAAGGATTCAGCAACTTTCTGAAGGAGGATAGCAATACTAGTCCCTGACAGCCGCCACTCTTCACATTGACAAACACCAACAATGGCTGAAAACAAAAGAATACCACTAATGAGATGCACTTTCTAAAAAATGTCAAAAAATAAACTCACTGCCAACATCAACACTCTTATTAAACCTTCAAAACTTACACATCATAACTGACAAATGGCACTTCTTAAGCTAACAACCAATGTTGAAAGACATCATTCTTTGAAATACACATCAACAATGGCCAAAAACAAAACAATACCATTAACAAGAGCTGCACTTTCTAAAAAATTACAAAGTCTGTATTAACATCTCCCACTTAGGCATGTTTTTAGTATCAGTCAAGAGCTACCTCTACTAGTAGATACCAATCTCTTCTCACAGAGGGTCAAACAAAGTGAAAAATGTGCTCTCTATTTACAATATTATAGCAACAGTTCTAGTGACTGGTTCAACTAAAAAATCTGATTAATAACTTATCAAAAAATTACATTTTAATTGTACTTGTGAGAAAATCTTCACTGTATGATTCATCATCTTTCTCTTGATTGTCTCTTCTGTCTGTAGCACAAAAGGCAGTTTGTTACGACAGTGGAAGTCACGCAATGTTGGGAGCATGTGCGCTGGAGTTTCTCGAAGGATCATGAATTATCGAGGAACCCTGCGAATGTCCGATTGTTTGCTAGACGCCTGGCGAGAAAAACCAGCGTGATTGAAGAGATAGATTGAAGATACAGATAATTGAGTCAAGCGAACAGTAGGCTCCGTAAGTAAGATGTGTGAATCACTGTGATTTATAGCATGTGTTATAAAGGTTGTTAAGTTTAAAGTGACTGTGAAAATTCTGTGTAATACAAAAAGTTGTGTCGAGAAAGAATAAACTAGTTTTAATCAAGAAGACTTGTATCGCTGAAGTTTCTCGAAAAGAATTTTTACCGGAAATTAACAAACAAGCAGATACGTAACAGAACTTTATATTTATTTAGAAAACTCTAGAGATTACACAAATGAACTACAAAACTGTAAGATGAAAATAATTACTTTTGTTATTGACATGAATATCATCTTTTATCCAGATTGAAGCTTTACTGAGTCATGAAAGCTAGCAAGCTTTTACTAAACATTAGAAGTCTGTTGTATAGAAAAAACATAATTTTATAATAAAGTATTTCTGCTAAAGATTTGTAAATTCAGAGTTACAGTGTGTAAAAATTTCCCTAATTTTGGCTTGGTCAAATTGACCCACTTCATACTTATAGAGCTAACAAAAAACATGTAAGCTACCACAGTATATATAACACTTAATACAATCTTCCCTAACTACATCAAAACTCATTAAAAGCTTGATATCTGATCTAAGTAAATACAACAGATATTACTGTTCAGTCTATAAAATCATCTTGCAGGACAATACAGATAAGTACAGACAAAACTAATTGCTATGAAGATAATAAATAAAAGTAACAAATTTAATGAATAATAAAACTGTACAATAAATGGGGAAAAAAGGCTAATACTCTAATTAAAATGCATCCAAGTTTAAGGTAATACAACTAATACACTAAACAAACTATGAGGCATGTTTAACACAATTAATCCAAGTTTAAGGTAATACAACTAATACACTAAACAAACTATGAGGCATGTTTAACACAATTAATCCAAGTTTAAGGTAATACAACTAATACACTAAACAAACTATGAGGCATGTTTAACACAATTAATCCAAGTTTAAGGTAATACAACTAATACACTAAACAAACTATGAGGCATAATTGTGTTAAACATAGTTTGTTTAGTGTATTAGTTGTATTACCTTAAACTTTGAGTAATTGTGTTAAACACACCTCATAGTTTGTTTAGTGTATTAGTTGTATTACCTTAAACTTTGAGTAATTGTGTTAAACACACCTCATAGTTTGTTTAGTGTATTAGTTGTATTACCTTAAACTTGGATTAATTGTGTTAAACACACCTCACTCAAAGTTTAAGGTAATACAACTAATACACTAAACAAACTATGAGGTGTGTTTAACACAATTAATCCAAGTTTAAGGTAATACAAATCGCACTCTTTATATTAAAAATGATCACTCCTTTTTCCCAGAATGCAGTGTTCTTATGCATTTAATTATAATGTGTGACAATAGTTTGTTGCCTGCATGATCTAAGAAAAACACCTAGGTTGAAGAAGTCTTAATATAAAATGATAAAAGCACTACAGCCAAAGCACTTTGAAATGGTGGACCTTTCTTCTTCAGATGCCAACTTTCGAAAGCATTTGGGTTATAGGAGTTTTATCAATTTATATTAATAGGTTTGTTGCCAATGGCTACGTGTTTTGAATTGAAACATAGCAGTCTAGATGACTTCTGATTTTCTCAATAAATTTTAAGAAACCATACTAACATACAAAGGGAGATTTATAAAAGAAAGTGCTTACAAAACATGCAGGAATTAAACAAAAAATGGTTGGAACAAACCATGATTATGTGTTAGGAGTAACTGAATTGGAAACCCAGCATGTGGCTTGTTTTCCCAAATATAACAAACTAAGAGTATGTGTTAAAAGTTGATTTGTATTACATGATAGTACAGTTTTCTTCCTGTAAAAAAAGCTTTAACAGTTGTAAACCTTTCATTCATTAGAAGTTTTATTCTACTGACATGATATTAACTACCTAAATGTGTCTCCTCCCCCTATTAAGTTGATAAAAAACGCACTAAATTTCTTTCTCTCAAGTTGATAGGAAATCATGATGCAGATACAATATTTATTGTTTACCACAAACAAGTATATATCCATAATATGTATTGAAGGTCAGATGGTACAAACCCAAACTTACCAGTGACCACATCTACAGCCATTTCAGGGAGTTTTGACGAATAGTGGTTCAAGTACTGTGGCTCAAGTTGCAATTATTAGGAGATGAATTTCTAATTGGAATACAGCCGGGCAAAGTTCTAGCCTGTGACGTCAGCCAAAAGAAGTGCTTGACTTGCAAACATTGTGAAAAACTATCACAAAAATCTCCTATTCATCAATGTTGTAGGAACTGGACAGGAAGTAGTAAAGGCATGGAGCCTGATAAAGGAGTAGCAGTGGTCAATAAGGTTGAGGCATGCCTTCATTCTACAGTAATAGATGATGATTTAAGCACAACTGATAGTCTGAAGTCATCCTTAGCCCATGAAATAAGAACATGAAGTTACAGAAGGTATATAATAAAACATTTCATATGAGCCACAGCTGTACGCTCCAGCCAAAAACACAATTTTGTCAAAAGAACGCAATAAGTCTAACAAGGCACTGAAAAGGCACTTTTCTTATGTTGTTAGCCAGAACAAAAATGTTCCTAAAGGGCTGAAGAACAGACTTCAGCAAATCATATCTGATGCATGTGGTGAGCACATCAAATGTGGACATTGTGGCAAAAGTAGAAGGGGAAAATACCAGCACATAAAATCCAGGGGAAGGAAGAACTGAGAAAGGGTCCAAAGAAGGTTGAGCACCTTATATTAAAACAATTTAAATATGCAAATCAGCAAATCTTGTGACAACCACAGCAAATTTAAAGTCATGGTGGAATGTATCAGAACTACATTTTGACATTTGGTAGGTAGTTTGATGCAAATGAAAAATGATTGCTTTTAGGAAGGGTATGTAACAGCCCTTTCTGAAACAAAATATTCAGATCATAATGGTATGTTCAGATTGAGAATTTTGAATTTCCAAGGAGGAGGATATCTCTCATACTTAATGGCAATGGAAAACAAAAAATATGGATCAACTTGGGGATAAGGACCATCCAAAATGAGACCTGCAACAGGATGTACCCTTGCCATGGTAAGTATAGTAAGGTGTCTTATAACAGATGAGAATCTGCAAACACAAAGGTTAGTGGCAAAAGCCATCCATATGCCCCAGGCAACAGTACGCAACATAATCAAGATTATTTTACCATTGCTTACCATACTTGCTAAACCTAATAGGCTAAACTGACGTTTTATGAAATAAAACTCTGAAGCTTTCAAACAAGTTTAATTTGACATAAGAATATTTTCAGGAATGAAAAACATCTAAAGAAATCATTAAAAATTTAGTTTGTTCCTAAGTGTTATAAACTTCCAATTAGAACACTTTTGTTCCCCCCTAAGCTTCAGGAGATTCTGGTAGCCAATATCTTATTATAAACTTCCCATTAGAGCCCATTTGTTCACCCCTAAGCTTCAGGAGACTTGGGTAGCCAATATCTCATTATAAATTTCCCATTAAAACTCTTTTGTTCACCCCTAAGGTTCAGGAGCTTCAGGTAGCTAATATCTCGATAAACCACATATTACTGTTCAAACCACTGTATGTACTCTACATTAATTGATATAGGTAGATTATAATCTCTTCTATACAGATATTTTGATCAATTGTCTCCAGCTATTTTCAAAGCTGTACTTCATTAGTAACTGTTCAGACAACTTGCTATGATATATAATAAAAGGGTTGCAATGAAGGGCTGTACTAATAACACTGTATAGTCAAAAACAAAACCTACATCATTATATTTTCAAGAGATGAGAGTTTTTTTAGCAAATACAAACTTATACTATGAGATAGGCAAAATAAAAACAATAATGTCTAATTTACAAGCTATATTCAGAGCTGCATAGAAATGAAAGTTGGAATATTTTTTCATTTTTCTTTGTAAATTATACTAAACAAATGTGACACCATGACATAATATGAATTTTAAAATTTTAAAATGCAGGCCTTGTGCATTTGACATCTCACATACACCCACTACTTATGATAGGAATAATTACCTTTATCTATTCATTTCTCTTTTAATATCTACGAGCTTAGTTTCTATGGTGATAAATCACCTCAAGGGTATTAGTACTTTGATCTACAAAAACCATATTGTATCTTCTTACTGCAGTCAGACAAAGTGTTTTAAGCAAGTCTTGTTCAACAGTTAAGATGTATTACCTTATATAATTACCAACATAATACAGCTATCAGAATACAATGTAATGACAGTTCACTTGAGTCAACATCCAGGCCTCTGTTCCTATATCATGAGCACCTCAAAAATAATTACTGGGACAAATTTGACTTGTCTGACTCATTCTGCCAGATTGTGAAATAAAGTATCAACACTAAGCTGAACGATTTGTTTATTTCAAATAATCGAAAGAAAATCTCTGGCATGCTTTTGTTGAAGTTCACCTGAATTTCAGGGGAATGAAGTTTATTACTAGTTTGTATACAGTTATCAAAATATTCATGTTTAAGATATTTGTTTGAAAGGATTTATCTAATAAGAATATCTGGAAGAAGTCCACTTGTCTGATTCAAACTTATTTTCAAAGTAATTATGAATGTAGCAAACATTTCATGGAGAGTTGTATACTGATGGACAACTAAAACAAATATAGAATTAAAACTAGTATTTTTCTATAGATGCAACTCTTTAATTTCTTATGAAGAAAGGATTCCCAAGGTAAGAAAACATGCTATATTTTGATTATTCTGACAAGCTTCACTTACCCTAATTCCTGGTGGAATCATCTCTGAGGTAATATTTGGTAGGAGGAGAACTAGAAGGTTCTTATCATCAAAACTGCATTCTCTCAACATGTAGAAGGTTTTCACTGCTATGTCTGCGTTGTCATAAGAAACAATCAGTGAACCATATTCATAGTAGATCGGCCCAATCTGTTTGAACCTGTAAGCTGTTAGGAATTAAAAAACAAACATAAGAAACAGACCTCCAACAGCTGAAAAAATAAACACATTTAATGTTTCTCAAAGTTTTAATCATGATGTTCTTCTCTAAGTCTGTATATTACGTATATACATGTGTGTTTTAAAGACATTATTTTACAAACCTATACATTTCTATATGAAGCTTGTGCTACATGCACTTATAAAATAAACATTTAGTTCTATATCAGTACAAATGTTATAAAAATAACACTAACATGTTTCAGTTCCAAGGTGAGTAAAAATGAAAATTGTTAAACAAACGAACTGTTAAGCAGGTTATCATGATTTAGTAGCTAACATACTAGAGAAGAATGGCATGTTCACTGCAGGTTATCATGATGTAGTAGCTAACATCCTAAAGAAGAATGGCATGTTCACAGCAGGTTATCATGATTTAGTAGCTAACATACTAGTGAAGAATAGCATGTTCACAGCAGGTTATCATGATGTAGTAGCTAACATACTAGAGAAGAATGGCATGTTCACAGCAGGTTATCATGATTTACCATTCTTCTCTAGTATGTTAGCTACAACCTGCAGTGAACATGCCATTCTTCTCTAGTATGTTAGCTACTAAATCATGATAACCTGCTGTGAACATGCCATTCTTCTTTTGGATGTTAGCTACTACATCATGATAACCTGCTGTGAACATGATCATGATTTAGTAGCTAATATACTAGAGAATACCGACTTTTCTCAATAACACTTATCATCATCTTTCAGTAGCTGGTATTTTAAAGAATGACATACTCAATAAATTATAGTCATGTTTTGGTAGTCTGACGTCATTTCAGTGAAGGATGACATATTCAGTAACAGTTACAGTCATTTTTGTTCCTGAGATTTAATGTTCTCAACAACAGTTAACATCATCTTTTAGTGAAGATAACAGTCAACATCGTGTTTCAATAGCTGACATTCTGATGAAAAATTATGTACTCAATAATTTATCATCGTGTTTCAGTAAGTGAAATTTCAAAACTTACTTGATAAGAATATGATGGCAAACTCAAAGACAGTTATCACCATCACAACATGGCAGTTTTCACAATCATGGCATTATTTCATTTGATATTTATATGTTTAGAAACTAAAATTTCAAATTGTTTGTTAATTTAACCAACTCTCTATTAAATGTACTGAGTAAAAGTATTAACTATGTTCAGCATAATAGCCATCAGACATTTGAATTATCATCAACATTAAAGAGGTGGGTAAAGAAGATGGTACCTCATGTTGTACTTCGTATCATTTCATCTACATCAAACATCTTCTCTACAAGATCTTTACACAAGAATAAACATACTAAAATATGATTACGTTATCTTTGATACACTTTGTTACTAAATGACAACTAACATAACGGTAGAAATAGAAGTAGTGGTACCCACGTTTGCCCAACATATTAATGAGAATCTTTTCATATTGTCTTTGCGAAAGATTGGGAGGGAGGTTTCCAATAAACAGTGCTACTGTGGTGTTAGAAGATTCATCTTTCTGCTGAAGGTAAAACCTTGTCAAGCTCATCTCTCTGATAGATTCCTGGAAGACAAATAAGAATATATACGAGAGCATTTCACAACACTTTTAGCTATGAGAGATGAAACATAAACAAGCTGAGCTTCCAACATAACCAAGTATCCCTGGTTTATCTTAAGTTAAATTTCTACGTGTAGTATTTATATCTGAAATTACACCTAATCCTAACTGTATTTCCCAGCTTATGGATATTTATAAAATTTAAATTTAAAATGCACCTAATTTTATTATTAAATGTGAAGTTCCTGTTTGAAATCAGATTTATTTTGATTAACTCATTAATTAAATATAATTCCTAAATGTAAGGTTATTCAATATTCATATCTAATCTAATCCTAACTACATTCTTTAATGTAGATTTATTCAATGTTTAAAGTCCATGCTTACTCTGAATAAATTCCTAGACCTAGAATTATTGTGTTTTCATTACAGACTCAGCAAAGTTCCTCGAATTTTTCTCTTTTAAATCAAACGTATCCTGGCTATACTACTAGACCAACAGTTATTTCTAAGTCCAGAATTATCCTGACTATATTTATATATCAACAGTTACTCCATTTTAAGACCACACTACTATACTATAAGACCAACAGTTATTTCTAAGTCCAGAATTAATAACTGTTGGTCTAGTAGTATAGCAGTGTGGTCTTAAAATGGAGTAACTGTTGGTTTATAAATATAGTCAGGATCTAAGTCCAGAATTTTCCTGACTATATTTATAAACCAACAGTTACTCCATTTTAAGACCACACTGCTATACTACTAGACCAACAGTTATTTCTAAGTCCAGAATTATCCTGACTATATTTATAAACCAATAGTTACTCCATTTTAAGATCACACTGCTATACTACTAGACCAACAGTTATTCTAAGTCCAAAGTTATCCTGACTATATTTCTAAACCAACAATTACTCCATTTTAAGTCTATACTCCTAGACCAATAGTTATTCTATTTTAAGTCCATACTTACCCTGGCTATATTCCTAAGAAGTTCCCATGGGCACTCCTGATTGTCCATAATCCTTTCGTGAACAGCTAAAAAAAACAATTAGATATTATTGTACTATCAACTATAATGTGCTTTATTTAGAGTCAACTTGCACAATCCATTTTATGGACTACATTTTCAATTTACTCTCATATTTCTGTTCAAATTCACTTCATTCTGCCCTTCAGGTGGCTTAGTGAAAATTATATAACTTCTGTTTCCTTTAATAAGCTATTATAGAATAGTATTATAACCTAGTTCAGTGAGTTAACTCACCATACACTTAAAATGTTATAATCTGTGAATTAGCTGCCACAGAGATTGAAAGACAGAACTATAAGTGATGCAAAAATTACAAAGCTACAGAGAAATAACAATTTTGTTGAGATGTTAGGAAATCTACCTTAATAAGGAGTTAAAGCCTGAACTTTTGATGAGGAATTAAACCTTGAACGTTTGGCTCATATTGGCATTGCGAGGTCAATGTTCCCAGGGTTCAACATGCACACGGCTAAAACCAATCCTAACCTATTAGAATCCTCCCACTGAAATAAGGCTTTTCCTAAATCTCTAAGCACAACCTTGCACTTTTATGCCATACACACACACAACAATGTAATGTGGCAACTCCAACGTGGCCAATCACTGAGACAAACAGATGGTTTGATTCATCATCGGCTCAGTGTGCAGGGTGGGATGACCATTAGCTGAGCACCAGTATAACAAGTCAGGATGTTAAGAAACCGTCCCTGATGTAGGCTTAAGCCCTCAAGTCTTGGTTGACATTAAGCTATCAGGATTCAAGACCCAAGCAGATAACCCCATTACAAGTCATATTATTACAGTTCTACCAGTGACACACTATAACTTACTGATAATCTGTTATATATATTATTCAGAAGCTGCTGATGTTGAAATGAATACACAGCAAAAACAATATAGAAAATGGTTTCAAACACAAATCCTAACTTTATAAAAAAATATATATATCTTAGAAAAACTAGTTCATTCCTATAGTGAATATTTAGGAAATATAAATGATTATTATTAGTGATCCAACTTGTGTACCTTCGATATGTTGTCCATGATTGCAGAAATTACCTGAGTATATCATATATATCATGCTGGGTATGTCATATATATCATGCTGGGTATGTCATATATATCATGCTGGGTATATCATGTATATCATGCTGGATATGTCATATATATCATGCTGGGTATATCATATATATCATGCTGGGTATATCATATATATCATGCTGGGTATAGAAATAACTGTGTTTTAATCTATGGTGTTTTTTTAAAACATACTCTTGTTGAAATAACTGTGTTTTAATGTATGGTGTTTGCATCTTTTTTAAAAAAAATCTTGATGAACTAGTTTTACATTGCATTTATCATCATTTCCTGTAAAAAATGATTTAATCTATTACTAGCTTATAGAGCAAGAAGGAAAAACAATATTTTTTTTTTATCTTTGTAGTGTAACAGAAACTTATGTTACTGTTTCTGTGACTGCTGACTCAAGCGTAGAAGAAATAATGGTGCAAGCCTTAGAAAAACTTGATCTTGATTCAACTGACATGAATAGGTTTCGTTTAAATGAAGTTTCTCTTGATAGAGGCTGTAAGTTTATCTTTGTAAGATCTACCAAATCTGTTGTATAGATTATTGATTTTCTATATAATTGTATTAATTGAAAGAAGTTTTAATGTATGGTGTTTTTTTAAAACATACTCTTAGTACAGTTATTTCACTAAGAGTATGTTTTAAAAAAACACCATACATTAAAACACAGTTATTTCACTAAGAGTATGTTTAAAAAAACACCATAGATTAAAACACAATTATTTCAACAAGAGTATGTTTAAAAAAAACACCATAGATTAAAACACAATTATTTCAACAAGAGTATGTTTAAAAAAAACACCATAGATTAAAACACAATTATTTCAACAAGAGTATGTTTAAAAAAAACACCATAGATTAAAACACAGTTATTTCACTAAGAGTATGTTTTTATCCTGTATTGAATTGGATATTACTGTAATATTTTGGAGAAAGATGAAATTAGTTTTTTTTTCACAATAAAAGAAACTTGTTTTTACTTTAAGAATTTTCTTCACAGTTAACCATATACCATGAAATTATCCTACAAGAATAATAAGTTAAATGGATAAAAATTCCAATGACAGAATTTTAAATCCCTGTGCTATACATGGACTGCCAATTAACAATAAAAATACAATACAGAATTGACTTGAGCAGAATAGTGCATGTACAAGCATGGTATTGACATTATTCAAGAAATAACAGACTGATAATAGCAATTTATTACGAAACTTTTATCACCCCAAGGTGCAATAAGACAAGATTTATCTTGTTAAGCTACCTTTGGGACTCTATATGTGAAATTTTAAGTGAGTGATGAGTAACTCAAACAAAAATGTATGTTCTTGAAAGAAAATAAGTTGAAAACTTGACTGCTTTATTATCTTTTCTCAATTCAAATGTTCTACCAAGAAAATATGCATATTTTAAGAAGTCATCATGAAAACACGAAACATAACTTTTTTTTGGGGGGGGGGGGTGATAAAATTAGTTTTCTTAAAGAATTAAATGTTACTTGATACCTAAAGAAGAACACATATTATACACAGGCAGACTGAAAAATCATGTTGAAACTACTGTGGCATGTAAAGAATTCCCCCTCCCTTTTTTTTTACATGAAAGCACAAAACATCCATGAAAAAGAGTATGGAAGAATGTGACACACATACCCTAAGTTACCAAGATAGATCCTTATAGATCCCTTCTCTGGATCTGGTGGACGATAGCGCAACAACATAGCCGGTCTCTTTCCTTCTCGCCGGATTAAGCTCTGCACTGGCAGGAAGTCCCCAAGTTCCTTTTCATTGGGATCTAACACACAAAAAATAACTCATATCACAATAACATATATCAGTAAATGAAATAAGCGACTGTAAACAAGTTATATTTTTCTTCTTACAGAGTGCTGTGATTAATAATGAACATTTGTTCAGTATTACAGCCAGATGGAAATATATCAAAGATATGCCAAAGCAAAAATCAGAATGAAATGTGCTGATAAAAAAATTACAGTTACATCCTTATATCAACACAGAATATTTTTTGACTTATCCACTTCTAAAGTGAATAAAGCAAAATTAAGACCACTGTGAAAAGTCTAATTCAGTTATTTGTACTGTCTGATACTTGACTATGTTCCTCTTAAAAAAAGATATCAAACAATGCTTACTTTACACATTTGTATCAGCAACAAATGAATTGTATATGTATTCTTTCTAAGCTTTGAACTGAATTTTCAAGACTTGGCAAAGAATAAGAATTAATTACTTTAATATTTTCACAAATCGGAGTTTTAAAATTTCATTTCTGAGAGGTAACATAAGATCATTTGAACCATCTCAGTCATCCTGTTTTTCTATTACCACCCTATTTCAAACTACATAAAAAACATTTTTTTTATATCCAACCCTGATCTCTTAAATACTAATTCAATCTCCTCTTAAACTCTTTCACTGATGTAGCTTCTACCACACCTGAAAGCCAACTAATCCATTAGAAAAAATAAACACTGCCTTAAGCAGAGTAATGTCCAAGTTATCCATAACTTAAATCAGTCTTATTGCCTGCATGTTTTGTGAAAATGTTATCTAGATTTATCGATCCAAAACTTCTTCTAACTTCCTGCCACCAAACATTTTCGCCCTTTCAGCCTTGGGGGCATTATAATTTGACAGTCAAACCCACTATTTGTTGGAAAAAAGTAGCCCAAGAGTTGGCAGTGTGGTGTTGACTAGCTGCCTTCCCCCTGGTCTATCACTTCTAAATTAGGGATGGCTAGCACAGATAGCCCTCAAGTAGTTTTGTGCGAAATTCGAAACAAACCTTCTCTAACACTGTTAAAAACCTCAATTGTGATTTCACTTGAGTATTTCTATTCAGCAAAAAATATGTCAACTTATCCCAAACCTATAATCAACTTGGTAGCTCTCACCTGAATGACCTTCAATAACTTGGTATACTTTTGTTTATACTATATAAAAACATTAGGCAGACTCAATTTTATTATTTACCATATCCAAGCATCTCTCAATTTTCCACCATCTACCCACTTTGTTTAATCCTCAAGTTTTTCTTCCAACTCCTTATAATTCCGTATATATGTTTTATCATTTCATTTTTCTTTACAAAGATTTATATTCTCTCTGTTCCTACTTTATCTATTTTGCCTCTAATTTGATCACACTGCCACACCTTATTCTTGCTATAGTTGAAATTGTTTTTCAATCTTCTTTTGATGCTGTATATCCTTCAATCCCTCCCATCCCCGAAAATGAGAAACATAATGCTTTCTTTATTCATTCAACATATGTATATTAATTTCTTATTCACTTCACAATATCACACTCCTCCCCCACTCCCCTTGAAAATATTTCTGCATACACCTATGCATTGATCATCATCAGTCATAAAGAACCATAAACTTTCCCTCCTCTATTTAGTTCTTGATTTTGTGATTTTATCTGCCATGGATACCCCATACCTTTTTTCTCCTCCAAATCACATTCTTGGACTTGTTCTTTTTTTAATCTCTCACCAATACTATATATTTTCCTTCCTGCAATAATTCCTCTAATTTTACTTCAATTTCCTCTATCATTTCCTTGTTCTTTCATTTTCTGTATTTTATTGAAATTCCTCTCGCATCTTTCTCCAGCCTATCTTCTTTTAACTCTTATTATGTGACATCCTTTATTCTCCCTTACTCTCTGCCCACTCACACTTGCTATTCAGTTTTCTTTTAATATTGATAAAAGAAAGAGATTTAAAAAAAAAAGCTTGATTCTTCTAAATCAAAAAAAAAGTAAAGTGACATTGAGAATTTTAGAGATAGGATCTTTATTTATTTTCTGTTATCAAAACCACAATATGTAGACAATTTAGTTTCATCCAGGATTCTGAACTTACCAAAAACATCTATCAGGTAGTAATTGTTTGGATCATCATGGATGTGGAATGCTCTTAGTGCTGCTCCCTGGAAATAAAACACAAAAACACACTATTATAGCTGTTTAGCATTTAAATTTCCATGCCTAATTAGTTTTAAAACTGCTGATGTAAAATCTTCCTAATTTTCAATAAGTTTTCAAAACCTTAAGTTGTAAGTTCCAATAAAATTACAAAAACTAAGGGAAATGGAAAAACGTTTTCTTTTAAAAAAACAGCTCGGTTACTAAAAAGATGCTTTCACTTGATAAACAACACATACGATGACTTGTTCCCTCGTTGCTTTTTGAGAAATACTGATTGTCCTATATGCCGACCTTTTCATTGACGAATTTCCATCGTATACCTTAATTAGTTCTGATGAAAGAAAAAAAAAAGAAAATTACTTCTTCATGAGCAAACAGTTTATATATCATTATAACGATAAAATAAACTAAAAACTAAATGAAAGTCGTGTGTCCTAATCTCAGTCTCGCTCTTGAGTTAATGCTTATGCAGCGCGACAACTTCTCAGGAAAAAAATAAAATCAACTATTAGTATTAATATCATAGCAAGCTACCTACAGAAATCAGATATAAAGATATATATACCTAGTACTGAGTATAGCTAACTTAATATAATGTTCAAACAATACTACTTATATTGATTAGAATGCACTGTTTCATCAGTTGTGTACCCTCGCTATTAATGATATTTTTTGGATGTAAACCCAGTAACATTTCATAAAGTTCAGCCAGCTCAAGCATGTTAAGTTAGTCTTAAATCCATATAGTAAGCAAACAATGCAAAATAATCATAAGCTCAAAACAATAATAAAAAATAAAAGTAGATATATTGAATATTCTAATAAACAGTGTGTGTGTTCACACTGCAGTAAGAGTTATACTAGGCTCAGCCAGCTTAGTATGTAATAAATAATTTAAATGAAACTCAACTTGTTACATATTAAAGCTGATAAATTCTGTACATGTGGTAGAACTTGCCTTCTACTCGGTCTTTTTCCTTTGGCGATGGATAATCATCAAATTCTTTGTTTTTCATGTCTCCGCTGGAGGAAATTTCTTCTGATATACTTCGTGCAGCTAGGGATGAAACACAAACAAAAAATCCTTTACAAAACATTGTGTAACAAATCAATTTCTTTGAATTTGATAAGCAGTTAATCTTTTTTTTTTCATATTTTTATGTTTTTTTATGAAAATCCTCAGACTCAATGACATTTTTTTGGCTGAAAATAGCTCATCATACAAAGGTAACCTCACCAGGTCACATCTGTAAAAATGTCGATTTTATGAATTTTACTTTATGAAGAAACCATTAAGACATAATTTAATTTTGCAGTCAGTGGTCAAAGTGGTTTGATCAAAGTGCATGAGTTGATCATTTTCCTGAAATCCAAAACATCAGCCATTCACTGATTTAGGTGCTATATATATTTACGTACACAGAAGGTTCCCATCTTGATGGGTACTGAGCAGATACAGTAAATAAAAAGCATTGGTAGGAATGTTTATCACAGAAAGCTTGATTCAAACACTTACGGGAGCTTAGGTTTAGGTTTAGTTTCATCAGACAACATATCTGAGGTAATGTATAACTATTATTTTTTTATACATTAGAGAACTTAAGGCATACTGAACAGTCTCACTTAACAACATAATGATAAGTAAACAAGTTCTGAACATTTTGTATAAAATATGATCAAGACCTGGATGCTGTAAGTTCAAAAATATTGCAAAATAAAATATTGCTTTAAAATATTTGACTCCCTTGGTGAGCATAAATGAAAACTTTTGACACTTTAAATATGAAACCATGTGGTTTAAAGGATATGAAACTAACAGTTCTATAACAGGTTCAAATTACATGATCATACAGCATCTTCAATACCTCCTGAAGGTAAAATAGCAAACCAAACCTTAGTACAGGCAATCATAAGAGTTTAGATATGAAATGAGAGAACTAGAAAGGCTTACGAGACATGGTCTCTCTCCTTTTGGTTTGAACCCCCATTATAGTCTCCAGAGGTACATATGTGCGTGGAATGCTAACACAACTCGGTGGAAGCATGATGCTAGCCAAGCATCCAAAGTTACACTCAACTGGAAGGTTCTTGTAACAAGTGGCATGGGCCTGACAGAAAAAGTCACATTCTAAATGTACATACAATCTTAGGTTTTACAAAAGTACTAATGCTAATACTGGTCTTACGTTTTACAAAAGTACTAATGCTAATACTGGTCTTAGGTTTTACAAAAGTACTAATGCTAATACTAGTCTTAGGTTTTACAAAAGTACTAATGCTAATACTGGTCTTAGGTTTTACAAAAGTACTAATGCTAATACTAGTCTTAGGTTTTACAAAAGTACTAATGCTAATACTGGTCTTAGGTTTTACAAAAGTACTAATACTAATACTGGTCTTAGGTTTTACAAAAGTACTAATGCTAATACTGGTCTTATGTTTTACAAAAGTACTAATGGTAATACTGGACTTAACTTGCTCCTTTGACAGTTAATTACAAGATTATTTACCTTTTAGTTGATTTTATTACAGTAGAGACTTTATAATAAATAATGCAGACGATGATGATGTTATAATGTTGAAACATATAGAGTCAACTTTTTGGAAGCGTATACTGGCCTTCATTAAAAAGATTTCCAACTGTGTACCCATATTAGTGTTGTGTGTTATTTATTATTTTAACTTCATACATAATACTTATACACATTCTATCAAAATAATAAGATCTAAGGTCTTTTCAGTACAATGTATCTAAGTTGCATCATTGCTGTTATGTTTTTTTTACCAGTTTCCACCACTAAATACTCTTTATATTTCACTAGAACTACCCAAATTTTGTTTCCTTTCTTCTACATTAAAAAACAAATGTTTTTCCTTATCTAATATAAGTAGTCTAGTCTTGATCACCAAAGCAATAATAACCCTTATTAAGCCTCAAATATGTACTTGTAACCAACCCATCTGCTTAAAACTTAATACTTTACAGGTCAACACAAACTTGTTAACATCTGTGTTTATGTATAACACTGATAATTTCAGTACAACATTTTACAAGAAAGTAAAGCAGTTGCTCCTGAGAGTGCACAACTAAAATTTGGAGTATATTTTCATCTTTTATATATATAATTGGAGCAGAAATGGTGATTTTTCAATAGCAGCTACAATAAAATTAGAAGTAGAGAAAGAATTCTTACAAGAAGATATACAAACACATTTGGTAGTATTACACTATACAAAGAATACAGATATTCCATTGCTAACAGTAGATAATTATAAAATGGCTCAGTAAAGAATTACACAGTTGATAGATTTCATGTGGCTCGAAGCTTAAACGCATGTTATTTTCTTACGAGAAAATACAGATAAAATGATCTGAGGACTCACCGTCAGACCACACCACTCACACCTTATGCCAGAGAGACATTCGACCGACCAGCACGTTTTCTTACAGAAGTGGCACTTGGAGTTTCCTGGTAAGTTACCTTCCCGCCAGTGATGAAACTGAGTTACAGAAGGCTGCCAAAGTTTGGAGTTTTAAATAGTTGCATCATTTTGTCAATTAAAGAAAGTTACAGAGAGATGCCAAAGATAATTCATATACATCATTAATAAAATTTACAAATTTTGATGGATACAAAAATGTTAAAAGACTTGATCTGCTGCAAAAGGTGTATAATGCTATTAACACATTGTACCTCACACCACAAACTGACATGATGTTATTAACACATTGTATCTCACATGTCAGTTTGTGGCTCTAATTGTAATTTTTGTAACTTTTTATGTTATTTTGGAATAGTGGTCATTTAATTGTCCAGTTTGTAACTCACATTTTTTCATCATACACAGAATCATGGTGATTAAACTTCACTAGAAATGCTATGAAGGAGATGTTAGGAAATATCTAATACTCATTGTTTCAAAGAAATTGGTGCCTTTTCTTAACTTTCAATTGTTTAGTAAATCATCAGTAATTTGTTATTTTATAAATCACTTCATTTATTTTATGCTTTTTGGCAGCTCATTCACATCTGATGTAGCTGCTGTATTGTCATATTTTCACATGTATAATGTGAAAAATCTATAAAATACTGCATAGTTGATGAAAAGAACTTTTTCTAATGTCATTTTGTTCTTACTGTTCAGAAGAAAGGCGGTAGTAGTACTGGGGTTATCCCTTCAATACTTTCAACAATCTGGTATATACTTAGCTATAAGAATAAGTGATATTATACTGAAGATGGCCACATATGTTAATAGCATCATGTCAGTTTGTGGTGTGAGGTACAATGTGTTAATAGCATCATGTCAGTTTGTTGTGTGAGGAACAATTGTAATAACATCATGTCAGTTTGTACTTAATAGATATGACTGAAATAAAGAAAAACTACTCCAGCACGATAAGTAACACACATGAGCAGGAGCTCACAGTGTAAAATATACTTTAGTCTAAAAGCATCTAAACATCAGAACAATTCTTACGAGATTTCTACTAGATGGATACGTGGCACATTCTTTACAGTTCGCAACACTGAAGTCGTGGCACTCAATATGAACACAGTACTCACAAACTGAAAAAAAAACATATACAAAAACACATTGTTGTATACAAACAATGAAAGAAGTATGCACAAAATTTAAAATGCTTCACATAAACTACTGGGTATACTGCATTACAAAATAGAGGTTTACATACACTATCTGACTGTTTAAGAACTGCCCAAAATTTTGTATAAAGAAAAGTTTGCTTATTGATAAACTTGCCTATAATATCTTATATTCTTATTCAAGAAAAAACTCATAAATCTACATAATAAGAAAAAGAGTTCTTTTATTTGTGAAAATACCATATCACCCAATAAAGACATTCTTTTACTCCCAAATCTCCGCATAATCACCAATAAAAAAGTTCTCTCATTTATGAAACACAAGAATAGTTCTCTTATTTATAAAACAATATAATACTACACAAAAATGAAGTTCTCTTATTTATAAAAGAATATAATACTACACAAAAATGAAGTTCTCTTATTTATAAAAGAATATAATACTACACAAAAATGAAGTTCTGTTATTTATAAAAGAACATAATACCACATAAAAATGAAGTTCTTTTATTTATAAAACAATATAATACCACACAAGAATGAAGTTCTTTTATTTATAAAACACTATAATATCATACAAGAATAAAGTTATATTATTTATCAAACACTATAATATCACAAAAGAAAGAATTTCTCTTATTTATAAAACACTGTAATATCACACAAGAATAAAGTTCTCCTATTTATGAAACACTATAATATCAATGAAGAATGAAGTTCTCTTATTTAGGAAACAATATAATATCACACAAGTAGGAAGTTCTCCAATTTAATAAACACTATAATATCACACAAGAATGAAGTTCTCTTATTTTTAAAACATTATAATATCACAAAAGAAAGAATTTCTCTTATTTATAAAACACTATAATATCACAAAAGAAAGAATTTCTCTTATTTATAAAACACTGTAATATCACACAAGAATAAAGTTCTCTTATTTATCAAACAATATAATATCACAGAAGAATGAAGTTCTCTTATTTATGTAACACTATATTATCACACAAGAATGAAATTCTCTTATTTATAAAACACTATATCACACAAGAATGAAGTTCT